TGCACCCAGAGACATTGAGTGACCTGCTTAGGATCATGCAGCAAAGAAGGTCAACACTAGGATAAGAATTTAGGTCTTCTGACACCTGATTTCCAAGTATCAAAGTGGAAATAGCTGTGGGGAAAGAGCCAGCATATGGGTTATGTAGTCAACATACCATCTGGATGTTATATGTGGAGGGGAATGAACTGCTTGTTTCCTTTTTTCCTCTTGGAGTCAGAGGTGAAGTGCACACTATTATGCAAGAAAACTCATTGGAGGCACCCTGGGAGGCTGTTGATGGCTTCCTGTAATGAGACCAGAAAAACTCACTTTCTCCTGCCTCTCCTGGAAGAATCATTGAGAGAATGTTTTCTCTCCGTTTCAACCCTAGAGAATTTTTTTGACCAATGGCCACTATTGACATTGTGGTCAAACTCTCTGTAAATTGCCATTTAGTGATATAGACTGTCAAAAGCACAAGGAGCTTGTGATGACCTTTTGTCATTGACATGCTGGGGAAGGGAGTGATTATGAGAAGGAAGAGCGTTAATAGCACTGGTTTTTGTGTGTAGAGAAATAGTGACTAGAGTACAGAGTTCTAACCTAGACCCAAGAGAACCTGCCACATATCTGATCCTCCCAGCCAGTGACTTCTTTGGGAAGGCTGAGGTGTGAAACACAGTTCTAAAGATTGGGATCGCTGGTTTCTAAGAGCCATCATTCCAGAAGAAAGTCTGGGGTTGCCTTAATTGCTTCCCTAGAGAGCCCTGGGGAAACCCTCATGCTTCATGTATTACAACCTATAGAAACTCCAGGAGTATGAAAAGTAGCTGTAGCCAGATGGCATTCACCCTCAAGCATCTTTAGTATGTGTCACTGTAGGACAGAAAATAGTGTTCCTTCTCCATTGAGGAAGGCATTAGTATAAAAGGAAGTTCCCTCACCTGTCACACGCCATCTCTCCTTCCTTCTTCTCTCATAGCTGTCATTAGGAGAGCAGAACACACGTAGACTGTACTGTGCGTTAACTCATTGAGTCCTCAGTTTTATCACTATACCCATGTTGCAAAACGGAGACCTGGAAGTAAAATAACTTGCCCATCACCCCATGGCTTGTAGGTGGTATAGCCCAGACTCAACCCTGGGCAGTGTGGCTACAGAGCATATTGTAATTCACCACCTGTGCTGTATTACCTGGTTCTAGTTCCCTTGTGCATTTGGCTTCAGGCTCTACGAAGATGATTGCCCCCTTTTTATAATATTATTCTTCCAGAACACATAGAGTGAAGTATTAGTGAATTACCAGACTTTTTAAAGGATAAAATGCATTTTTGATGTCAGAAGAATTTAGTCCCACTTGATAGCTCTATGGGCAGCCCCACTGCCAAGTTGCTATCACTCAAAGGACCTCAGCACACCAGGATCAGTTGGTGACCAGCTCTTAGGTCCCTGCCATTACCAAAGAGCATCAAGGGTGCTGACTCTGGTGTAGTCAGTCTGATGCACAGTCCAAAAGCCAAGGGAAATAGTTCTGTTTTTGCTGCCATCTAATTTTCAATGCATCAGCAGAGCTTGACCTGTCCTTGACATTTAGGGGCATGGATATATAGCTATATTTACCTGTGGACACATATAAAACACCACTTATCTACTTCCAAAGGGGTTGTATTCACCAGCAGGAAACAACCCAACTAGTAGTCAGCAGCTATATTGATTATATAAATCCATACAAATGCCTATAAATACAACAGTCACAATAAATGATGATGAGTATAAATAAATAATATTTACAAGTACTTTGCTGGCACTGGGGAAAAGGTGGGGGATTAATTAGGGAGTTTATTGGAGCAAGTTGCAAAGATTAAAAGAAGAAGAAGACTCAATACAGCTGCCATTTGAACGAAGGAGAGCATGGCACGCCTGTGGTGTAGCTTGATGAACGAGCTCCAGAGAAATAGAAGGCATCACCAGTGATTTGAGGGAGGCACTTAACCTTCCTGGATCTCAGTTCTTCCATCTGTCAGTATGGAAAATTGGGTATTGAAATCAAGAGTGAAACACTTGGCGTTCTTCTGAAGAAAAGCATAAGCATCATATAGCCTTTGGGTTCAGGACATGCTATTATTTGGAAGAAATGCCTATGGGACACATGACTTGTGCCAAGTGCCAGTAATTCAGGTGTCCTTTGGGAAGGAGGCAGTCTGACGCATTGACATAGAAGAATTGGTAGGCATTCAGAATCTTTCAAGGAACATAATTCTCTGTGGCATCAGAGTGGGTCCAGCCTATGCCAACCCTGCATAAGGCAGTACCCAAATCTCAAATGACTCCCCGGTCCTTGCTCTTCAGGTTGGCGTCAGTTAATCACATGTGGGATCAGATGTTGCCTTGCCAACCTGACTGATATGTTTCCAGCAGAACTCTGTTTATGTCTTGGTCCTTGTTTGTGTGATGTTCTGTGTTTTATAACTTGAGCCTCCAAGAATTTTTCCCATGGCTATGCATCATTCCTTATCACTCATAACCAAATATGGCAGCTTTAAAAAGTGCTGTCATTTTCCTCAATTTCATTCATTGTGATATAATCAGGTATAGATTTCTGACACGGAGCATCTAATGGGGTTTCAGATTCAGAAATCAACAATAAAAGGTGTTTTTTTCCCTTCCTAGATATCTCTTAGTTGAAAGACACAGAGTAAAATAGTCCTGAGTGACAGGGCACATAAAATTCACGTACATTTGCCCAGAGAAAGTCTGGGGTCAAGAGGGACCGCATATGTGGACCAAGCTGTGATTTTGCTGCAGCTGGAATAATTTCTCCCACAGGATCAGTTCCTTTGTCCCCTTCCAGACTCCATGTTTAGGTTCTGCAATGTCTTCCTATGTCTGCAGCTGGCTTTTATGATGATGAAGAAGATATGGTCAGCCTGTGATGGACACTGAAATGACCAACCAGGGACTCCAATTCTGCTGCTTTTGGGTCCCCTGCTTCCTGTAAGAGGATTTACATAATGATGGGACCAGACATGCTGAAATGGTCTTCTCAATATTTCTTTCCTGTTCCCTTTCCTTAGTTCCTAGGCTGTGACCCTCAATTTGTTTCCTTTTCCCAATAAATCACCTTAGTGGTCTGTGTGGATCAAGCATGCCTGTACCACAAGGAAGATGCTTGCAATTAGTATCAAAGAGCTGTTCCTTGGCCTAAATATACTGTGAAAGAAAGCCTGAGAGGCTCCTGTCACATTGCTGAAAGGCCACAAAACGCAACAATGGCTACGCTACTGACAGGAAAAGGAACGACATCTTCTCTGCGTTCCCTCTGGGCTGTTGTCCCAAAGGAGAATCTGTACTCTGGGTGGTTCAGGAGGGTGAAAACATCCAGAAGAGAAGGTGAGAATCACCCGTGACTGGGGCTGTGTGAATACAACACGACCATGCAAAACTGCATCTCTCTCCTACCTGCTGCACATGCAGCTATGGGAACAGATACTGTTACTTGGAGTTTCTCACATCTAGCTTCCTATGAATAGTGCCAGCTCAGAGAGCTGGTTGAGTTTAGCACAGTATTAGTATAGATGGTTTCCATTCATGTTTCTAGGGACCTTAGTATAAAAATGACATACTGGACCTGGATGTTGATAGTAAGTTGTTCCTACGACTGATACCATCTTGAGCTTGAAAACTTACCTGGTCATAGAACACCTGAGCCTCTTCCTGATCTTCAGTTCTATCCATGGGCTTCCTTAAGTTCTGATCCTTAGGTTCTAAGCATAGCATTTTCCACAAAAGTGTTCCTTAGGGGCCATCTAGACCAGTGGTTTCTGAGTTAAGTGAGAGAGTCAAGCCACTCTTGTCTGCAGTGGCAGCCACCACTCAGCCTCAGGGCTGCCAGTGTTGTGTAGTTTCATAAAAAAGCCAGAAAGCTAGATTTTTATGTGAAATCTCCCGATCATTTACTACTTGGAATTAATATAAAATTTAATACTTTGGAAGCCTGGCATGGCGGTACACACCTGTAATCCCAGCACTCAGGAGGCTGAGGCAAGAGGATGACTGTTAGTTTAAGACCAGCCTGGGCTACAGAGTGAGTTCAAGGTCAGCCGGAACTGCATAGCAAGGCACTATCTCCAAAAAAAAAAAAAAAGTAATACTTTAGGGTAAATAAAGCAAGACTGGGCTTTATGTGGTCCAGAGGCACCAGTGGGTTAGTTCTGGTCTAGTCCAGCTCTACTGAGGCCAGAGGAGGACTTGCCCGAGACCACACAGCTAAGATGGCACAGAAAACTTCTCATTCGTATTATTTTCCTGGAGGAAATGGTAGGAGCTTGGTATCTCATTTCTGTTCCTGCTCCATCCTCTAGCCAAGCACATCAGTGGACCTGGGCTATACCATCTTTTCCTGTGGCATAGTGAGACAAGCGCTAGGCTTTGAGTCAGATGTGTGTTTGAGTCCCAGGTCTTCCGTTTACCAGCAGTGTGACCTTGGACACATTTGTTGACAGCCTTGGGCTTTGGTTTCTTCACTAGTAAAATGAAAATAATAAACTGTGCCTCCCGGGACTGTTTCAGGGTTTATGGGAGAAGGTCTCGCGGTGCATTAGCACACTCAAGAGAAACACTTGAATGGGAAGAGAGGTGCTAATGTCAGCCTCTAGCACTGCAGACACCAGCAGTGCAGAGGACTTCCTGAGCCTGTGCACGCTGTCCCCTAGCACAGAGGGTGGTACACAGGGGTACTGAGGCCTGGTCCACTTTCCTAACACAGAGCCTCCCTCATCCCTGGAAGTGATATACCCCCACTCTAGCTCTGACTGACCCACAGAGATCAGCGTTCAGTGTGTGTCTTGGAGCAGCATCTGCTGCATCTTCATCCCTACAGCCCTTCAAACCAATTGCACAGAACACAGATAAATGTAACGTGGGGCCGGACCTACTCTCGTCCTGCCCTGCCTTGCCCTGCCCAAGAGCGATTTTGACTGAATGTGTATGGTGAACCATGTTTTCATCTCCATTTCCAGGGACGCAGACCGGGCTATTTCTCCTTCCTGGACCCCTTTTCTCCAGGCGTCTGGCTCTTCATGCTTCTGGCCTATCTGGCTGTCAGCTGTGTCCTCTTCCTCGTGGCTCGGTACTCTCCGCTGCCCTTCCCTGTCCTCACACCGCCACCTCGTGTCCACCTCTGGGAACTGCATGGGGAGGGGGTCGGGAGGAGAGGGGCGATTGAAATTTTGGTGCCCAACTAGAGGAATGAATGGGAGGGGGACTCCAGCCCACAAATGCTCTCTGCCCAGTGGTCGACCTCACACTCCCCCTCTATCCGTCTACATGTTTGTGCTCTCCCCAGCACACACAGTGCAGCCTGGATTTGTCTGGATTTGCTTCTACACCCCCAGCTCAGGTTCCCTCCCGATCCCCTCTGGCTCCCTGCTCCTATAGGAGCCTTGGGAAAGAGAGGCGGGCAGGATGATCAGCCTGATTAAACACTGCATTTGGCTACCCTGGCACCAGTCCTTGCCAGGATCTGCCACAAAGGCTAAATGACAAGAAACAGAGCCTGAGCATCCAGAGTGGTAGGAGTGGAGGCTGTAGTGATGCAAGCCAGGGAGAAAGCAGAGCTTGAATCTGCCTCTGAAAACACAGTTGTCTTGCTGGATAGGACAGTGGGGGGTGGCAGGTGGCATGAGGACAGGACGGAGAGAAGTCTTTTAGGGTAGTGTGTTGAGCTGAGACAAATGGTCCAGATCAGACGCTGGGGAGAATAAGCCCTCCCCTAAGCCCAGAAGCTAGGCACTGCCCTAGACCTGTGGAAGAACCCAGGGGCATCCCTGTGCTGTGGTCTCCCAAGAATGTGCCCAAAAGGGCCTATTTGTGTCTGAGTTCAAGGGCTTTTGGACCAACCTGGGATTCAGAAGGAACTTCCTATGCAGAAGTGAAACAAGGCCTAGTGCTCCCAGGCCACTCACTGAAGTCCCTACTCCCTGCTCAGCCCTCAGCTTACTCCAGAGGGCTGTTGAATGGGGGCAGAGCTCATAGATAAGCTCATAGAAATTTGATGGAGGTCTCTGCTCTCACTTGTCCCTTTCGTTTCTAGGCCACAGCAGCAGGGGTGGGTGATCCTGTAGTATTCGCCGCTTCTGCAAGTGGGCTCTTTCCCAAAGGCATTCAGTGAACAAGGGGAGCACATGCTCTCTCTGGTTAAGAGGTGGCAGAAATAGTGTCCTGAGCCCAAGGACTCAAAGGGTGCCTAACTCCCAGGCGAGTTCTGCTCCTGCCCAAGTGGAATCGCATTGCCGCATTGCCCTGTGTGAGCCTCTTCCAGTGGAGATCAAGGCCCAGATGAGGAAGGTCATCTGGGGCCCACAAGATCCAGCCTGACAAACAATGGCCTTGCTTATAACCTGGTAGTGTCCAGCGGAGCTGAGTTCGCTGCTCTCATACCACCTACCCCTTGCGGGCCTCATGGGCTCCTACTTGTTACTGTCAAGTATCTGTTGTCAGTGACAGCTGGCAAGGTGCAGGAGCTCACGTGCTGTCTGACACTTCTGCTCTCCACTTCGCAGCGTTGTCTGTGCTGCTTTTAGTAAGCTGTCTGCATGCGGCCAGCTCCATTGCTCTGTGATTCTCTCTGGCCCCTGTGACTGAGCCTTTGTGTGTGTCATGCCACAGCTCCCAGGTCACCTTTAGGGCCCTCAGAAGGTTCTTCGGACTTGATCAGCAGATAAACACACACAAACTTGCCTCACCATGCCCAAGGCAGCCTAAACCTGCCCCTGGGAGCTATACTGCCCCACTTCCGTGCCCTCCACACCCACACAGTGCATCCTGCATTACCAAAAACATTAACAATGTATTAAAGGACTAACCATGTGTGTGCATGTTCACACACACAGAAACACACTCACACAGAGAATATCCAAGCATAGGATATTCTGTCCTAAGGCAGTGGTCTGCAAGAGGGTTCTATGAGGCACAAAGGCTGCTGTGAACTATCAAACACCTTGGGGGATGACCACAGCTCTAGGGCCCCAATGCCTCATCTTTCAGATCCAGCTCTGCTTTTATCGCTTATATGTTATACTTCTGGATAAGATTTTAGAGGGGAAAAAAATGTTTAAAAACTACTGCCATTCACAAGCCATCTGAGCATCAGAATCACACCAGGGCTTTTAAACTTTTGAACTCCTGGTTTCAGTGTCTCAGAATCTCTAGGGCTGGGGACCCCAAAGCTGTGTATCTAGAGTGTGAGCCCCTGCTTCTCAGGGTGGACATGGAGCCGCAGGCATCGGCATCCCCAGGGAACTTGCAGATTTTTAGGACTCACCAGTGCTCCCTGAGTCAGAAGCTTTGCGGGTAGGGCATGGCAATCTGTATTTTAACAAGCCTTCATGAGTCTAATATAGGCTGAAGCTTCACAGCTAGGCAGAGGGGTTCACATGCTGGTTCTGTGGGACCCTAGGGTTCCTCCCTGATCCCTTGTGGACTTGGAATAGAACAAGAAGCAGCTTGCTTGGCTGCCCATGCCTTGACACTTCCAGCTTCCTGCCAAGGGGCTCCACCTTTATCTGTTTTATATATTGGAGTTCCACATCAGAATTTATTCAAGGAGAAAAGTGTAACTTTAACTAAAGAAAATAACATGAGATCCACCAACCTAGTGCAATTGTACCACTGCACCATTTTTGGTGGTAGTGGTAGGGGGTGTTCAAATTCAGCAAAAGGAAATGGCTGGGCCAAGGCAACAGCAGTGAGGCCCAAAGGAAGAGCTGGTCCCCACTGCCTAGCACCCTTTTCTCACACTTGTCCTCCCAACGTTGGTGTATGTTCCTTTTCTCCCACAGGTTGACACCCTATGAGTGGTATAGCCCTCACCCATGCGCCCAGGGCCGGTGCAACCTCCTGGTGAACCAGTACTCCCTCGGCAACAGCCTCTGGTTTCCAGTTGGGGGCTTCATGCAGCAGGGCTCCACCATTGCCCCTCGAGCTTTGTCCACCCGCTGTGTCAGTGGAGTCTGGTAAGATCCCATATGAGACAGGGCCAGAGCTGTGGGGCAGTGGGACCAGGACCATGGGGAGCAAAATAGGGACTGCAGTGAAACCCTGCCCCACTGCTGGTGGACAGGAACCTTAGAAGCCCTGTGGGAGAACCCCAAAACCTTTGCCTTTCACAGCGACCCAGCAGGGAGTTGAACCACCTATTGCTAGCTCCAAAGATTGCAGACAATGGACGCCACCCACTCTGAATTATCTTCTCCAGTTCCCTTTACTCTGCCTCTGAGGTCTGGATACAGAGGGGATCCAGGGCAGGAAGAAAGAGGCAAGAAAACAGCCTTTAAGACCCACAGCCAAGAAAGATAACTTCCTAACCTGAAAATGACCTGTGCTTGAGCGGTTGGGCCAGCAAGGCATATGCAGATTAATGCAAATATGAGCCTGCAGCAGGTAATCCCTTCCAGAGGAGCCTGCCTCTTCACAACACACACCTTCTCCCAGGTCTCGGAAGCTTTGTCCCTCTGCACCTGCCTCTGGGCACTTGGCCTGTTTACCTCAGCAGGTGTGGGAAAATGCAAACCCTTAGACACTCAGCAATGGGCGAACCATTCAAAGGGTGGAAAAGCTCTTTGAATATGAAGGTATTCATATTCACTATACCTTTCACCATGAAGGTATGGACTAATAATTTTTATTAGACACTATGGAGGAAATGACATGTGTATAATATATATCTCCTAGAGAGGCAAGTTTACAAGGGATAGTTTCTGGTCCTCTCTTAAAATCCACTTTCAGGGGGCTGGGGATTTAGCTCAGCGGCAAAAGCGCCTGCCTGGCAAGCGCAAGGTCGTGAGTTCGGTTCCCGGTACCGGAGAAAAACCAAAAAAAAAAAAAAAAAAAATCCACTTTCAGTTTGGCTGCCACAACTTATAAGGCTTAACATCCTTGGTCCTCTTGCCTCCTTCTCAGCCTGATTAGACTGAAGGAAAAGGAAAAGTGGTGTTTCCTGCATGGCTCTGGGTGCCCAGGTCAGGGGTGGTCTGGAAAGAGGCAGCACAGGAGCTGCTGGAGCTGGGGCTAGTCACTGGGACAGCAGCCTGTCTTATCTGGAGTATTCATTTCCTCGATAACTGATACATATAGTGAAATGTAAATGAGTTGGGCAAAGTGCTCACCTGTTATCAGACATTGCCAGGAAGTTACTGAGTAGATCAGTGCATAGAACTGGGACTCACTGTCCCCAGGAAAAAGGAATAGCTGAGCAGAGGCAGTCCCAGAGGTCCCTCAAAATTCAGGAAATCAGAGCAGATGCCCTGAGACTGAACACCTGTCAGGTGAGGATGTTGACCTCCCTGTACCTGCGGATCTTCCTTCCAGAGGGTGCATCTGGTTGTTGGTACAGCAAAGCCCCATTGTCTGCTTCATCCACTTGGCAGCTCTCTGCAACCTGTACCCCAGCAGGCCCCTCCTCTAGAGAGCTTCAGAGGTGTGAGTCCTGCAGGGTGCTGTTCGAAAAGGCTGGCCCCAGTGGCTTGGTCAGTGTGTCCCCCAGTGTGTTGGGAAGGGGCCTCTGCACCAAAGAGGAGCCACTCTGAGGGATGCTCACTGGTCCCTCCCTAAATCAAGTCCACAGGTTGGTCATTTCCCTGGGGTTTGGGAGGTTAGAAGATAGGACTGCCTTGGCCTCTTCACCAGAGCAGTTGACAGAAAACGCCATGCTGCTTTCAAGAACATCACAACACATAACGCCCTTTCAACACGGGAGCAGGGCTCCACCAAGCCCCGGAAACTGTATGAGCATCCTTTGCTTTCTCACAAAGGTGACAGGCTTGCATTGAGCTGCCTAGGTTCTCTGACCTCTTCCCTGTGACCAGAGGCCTCGACTGCCACAAGGCTACCCAAGAAACATGCCAGAGTATAGCCCGGTGGATGAGGGAGGAAATTCCCAGCCAACCCTGAGGCCGCATCCTTACCTAGGGCTCACTAGTGCAGTCAAGTAGCAGGAAGACACTGGCTTGTTCCGGGGGATGATCATGAGAAACAACTTCCAACAAGGTGGAAATCAGCAACCAGGGCAAAGAGATCAGGTCTTGAGCAGGGAGGGACGCCTGACACCTACAGGTCTCACATGGGAAAGATCTAAGGAGGTAACCAAGTGATTTTCTGCCATATGCAGGCTGAGGGTCTCACTTTGCATATCTCTATGTCTCTCACATTCATGAAGTCCTTTACAGACTACTGATCACTAATGCTATACTGTCTCATTTGATGTCACAACTCTCCCTAGACTGGCAGAGCAGGCATTAGTAGTCCCATTAGACAGATGATTTTGAAGAAGGCCAGTAGCCTTCCCCTGATCTCACAGATGGAATATGACCAGAGTTGAAAGCCCATTCACCTCACTGGCAGGCTAGCATAAAAATATGACTATTGATGGGTATCTGTGCCCTTGTGGATGCCCTCATTGCTTCACCTAGGGAGGCAGCCAGCAGAAGTGCCTAATAACAGTGGCATGAGTGGCAGTGGGACTTCTTGCACTTGAAAATCCACCTGGTGGCCACCAGCTGCTGAGTCCTGTGGCCGGTACTTTAGCCAGCAGTGTCTTTATGAGAAGTGAACATTCATGAATTCAGACCTCACTGATTCACAATTTGTGATTCTTCACCCTAAATTGAGGTTAGTCTCTCTTTGAACCCCTTACACCAAAAGTATTAGGATGCAGATCCATACTGTTAACCAGATGGGAAGAGCTTGTTTAACCTACCAAGGTGAACAAACTATTGTTAGTGGCTTTAACATATATTCTGCTTGCACTGCAAAATTATTCTAACTTTAAATGGGCTGTCATGACTCAATAAAACCATCTTCTAGTTTGAGGTAGCGTGACCATTGTAAGAGTATCTTCAGCCAAGTGCGATGGCACATGCCTAGAATCCCAGCACTTGGGAGGCTGAGACAGAAAGAGTTCCATGAATTTGAGGCCACCCTGCCTACCAAGTGAGTTCAAGACCAGCCTGGACTACATAGTGAGATAAAAAAAAAATTATTTTCAAATTCTAACATTTTAGCAATTTTGAAGGTGTTTTTCACTAGTTTGTCTTCATTAAAGACTTTCTGTTATGAAGATGTATAGAGCCAGTTCCAAAATACAGACATATCAATGTGTTACTTGGTAAATTACTTCATTTTTCCCAGCTGCACTTTCCTCCCCTGTAGGATTGGGATAGGACATTTACCTCCTTGAGTTGCAGTAGGATTATGTAGGGTGGCAGTTGAGCTCATGGCAAGTGCTCAGTACCTGGCCACTCACTTCTGAAGGCTGATGTCAGCTTGAGGAGGGGGGAAGCCAGCCACCCAGTTCTAGCTCTGAACAGAGTCCTCTAGCTCATTTCCCATAGTCCCCAGACTCTCATGTGCATGGACTACACATCTTTTGAATAGCAGCCAATACTGACCTTCTTTCAGAAATAAGAAAAAATCCATTCTGTTTTTCCAGGCAGCATTCACAAACCCAATCCATTTTCTCTTGACATCATACGCCCTGCCTCCTTTCTCTCCCCCGACTCTGCTGAGAGCTCCTTTAGAAGACAGACAGACACCTGGTCTCTCCTATGTCACAGCAAGACTGGGTTTTGGGGCCAAGACAAGTGGGGGTGCCCGGGCAGTGATGACTTCCTCGTCTTTTCCTACCTAGGTGGGCATTCACGCTGATTATCATCTCATCCTACACGGCCAACCTGGCAGCTTTTCTGACTGTGCAGCGTATGGATGTGCCCATTGAGTCAGTGGATGACCTGGCTGACCAGACTGCCATTGAATATGGCACAATTCACGGAGGCTCCAGCATGACCTTCTTCCAAGTAAACCCTGTTTGGTTGCTCACTAACACTGGGAATTAGAGAGAATAAAGCTGAGATGTTTGTCCACTGGAGAGAAAAACATCTCTTCTCATTTCATTATCTCTTTTGAACATCTAGTTTGGAGATCAGCATGGGGCTTGTTTTTCTCCTCTTCCACAAAATGAGCCAGAATGAGGTCCCAAGAGGACTTTGGGTTAATATTAACCTATCCCAGGCTGATACACATGGACAATTGTTAGTACTTAAGATGATTTTATGTTTAATGTGATGGAACTTTGTTTAAATGCAATAGCTTTGTGTTTATTTTATGGGCATTAGAAAAATATATGCTGTGAATCAAACCTATAGTTTTATTTACATTACTGTATAGGGTGGGACTAATGTGTATATTTAACTTTTAAGAAATTAGATAGTTTTTTAGGTGTTACTAAGACCAAACAAGATTAAAACAGTACACAAATGACTGACGTGGAAGATGAATTGATATCATTGATTTCTGGCTGATAGGCCTCAGATAGGGCCCCTCTTAGCTCCTCTGGGATTCCCTTTCAAGGCTGAGGAGAAGGCTCTGCCACAATAATGTGTTCACTGACTGACAAGCCGCTTGATCGCCAAGGCTGACAGAACAAGGCCAGACAGAACAGTAGTTTTCATAGCCTTCAAGGTCTCAAGGGAAGCAGATTTCCCCTGGGCTTGTGGGTGTCCAACCAACCTACCATAAAAGAAGCTCATTTTCACATGAAACAAGCCTAAATCTTCGTGTTTTCTGTGCAAGTCTCAGAGCCTGTTGGCCCAGAGACTACAGAAAGCATCATGCGAAGAGTTTGGATAGACCCCCAGAGTTCTGCCTTAAGATAGGTAAGATAGAAGCCAGCATTGGATGTGTGATAGATAAATTGTTTCAGGGTAGATGGCAAATAGCTGCACTGCTTCTGCAGGTGACATTCTGTTTAAGTCCTGAATGAACCTGAATTCGCTGCTCCAAATTGAGGGATGATAAGGAACATAGCCAGAATTTCAGCTTTACCAGAAAATGGAAACTGTCAATGGAAGATCTCTAGGGTTGATGAAGCAGAACTTATGATCAAACCAGTAGTCAGAATTCCCAGTGCCTTGGGACCCAGTGGCTCCCCCATCTTTGTGCAAAAGCAGCAGTAGTGACCATCTTGAATTGAGAGATGAAAAGGAAAAGGTTCTTGACTATCATGAAGGGGCAAGTTGTACAAGGGCCAGCATTTTAAGGCCCATTTTGATTCCCTTTCTCTTTAAACCAACATTTTCTTTCTCTTTTCCCAATCCTTGGTCCCATCCACAACCAAGATTCCTTCTGCTCTTTCCCCAGAATTCCCGCTACCAGACCTACCAGCGCATGTGGAATTACATGTACTCCAAGCAGCCAAGTGTGTTTGTGAAGAGCACAGAGGAGGGAATTGCCAGGGTGTTGAACTCTAACTACGCCTTTCTGCTGGAGTCCACCATGAATGAGTACTATCGGCAGCGAAACTGCAACCTCACTCAGATTGGGGGCCTGCTGGACACCAAGGGCTATGGGATTGGCATGCCAGTCGGTAGGCAGGCAAGGAGCAGCCTCACTGGGTAGCTTCATCCAGGCAGGCTGGGAGCAGCTAAAACCATTGCACACAATGCTGAATTCAGTAACTCCTGTTTCAGGATTTCAGGCTGGGGATGTGGCTCAGCACTAGAACGCTTGGCTAGCATGCACAAGGTCCTGGATTCGATCCCCAGTACTGATAAACAGATAGATAGATAAATAAATAGTCAGTCCTGTTCCAGAACCAATGTAACAGTGACTTCAGGTGAACTTTCTTAAGGTTTAAAAACAAAATCATTTTTACAGAGTGGTAAACACTGTCCATAAATATGAGAGAGCTAGCTGACTGTTTATTTGACTGACTTATTACTACAGGCTAATTCTCATTATTAAAGGGTATGTTGATGCCCTCAGTAGTGGATACTTGCGTCTCTTATTCTGCTTCCTGTTCTTTGGCCATTTCTCCGAGGGACATCTCTACTAGCAGTGGGGAGAAGAAAGAGGTGGTAACACCCTAAATGAATGGATTAATTTTGCATTTTGCTAGTGTCCGCTGAAAAGCTTACTGACATGACTGGGTGAGAAGACTGTCAAGTATTTGTGGATTTCACGGCCCCACCCACTCTGAGTCAGCATGAGTAACAGGGAAAGGATGATAAAGCCCTGGTGTTCAGCCTGCTGCCTGTTACCATCTGCACATTGTGTTATCAGAGGGTGGAGATTGTTGGCTTACAAGAAGGTATCTTAGCTGTGCTTTTTAAAGGTCGTTCACACTTGGGCTTCCCCTGCTGGTAGTGCTTCCACCAGAAGATGAGGGGAACATTTTTAGCTGCTGTTGTGATTGTGGAGAGATCAGAGTATGTTCTCCAGGTGGTTCTGACATGCACCCTTACACCATATGCACCATTCAGAGCCACTGATGTGTGGGGTTGTCTCTGTACTAGGGTATTCTTTATCAAGGCATCTGGAGAAGAAACAGGAGTTGAGGTCATCTAATCATATGGGAACACTGATACTCCATATGCCCATCTTTGTAGTTACAAAGCCCTTCCCTTCTACTGATCTGTACCGAAATCCAGACTCTACAAGTTATAAGATTCACTTACACCCATGGAGTGTAATGAGCACGATGTTAGAGTCAGGTCTGGAAAAGCATCCTGTTTACTGCCATCCTGGTACCTTAGAGAGGTTATTTAACATCTCTGAACCTCAATTATCCCATTAATTAAATTTCTAGCACCTATTCATAGGGTTATTGTGAGGGTTAAACCTGATAATCTGGTCACAGTGTCTTGCACTTAGCCTGTCTGAGAGAATATTGGTTTCCTTCCCATCTTTCCCATAATTCCCTATGTTATTTGCTAAAAACATGACTTCTTAAATACCGATCAGAAACCAAGCAACTGAACCCAGGCGGTAATATGGTTCATCTCTGAACTCTGGATTCTGACGCTTGCGGTTCTATAGCTGGAGGCCTCACTCAGGATACCTGCAGCGAGGCACATCCCCTCTTTACTGTCATATTGCATCAGTGTCCATTAATCTTACAGATTGTGGGCCCACTTGAGAAATATTTTGGCTGACATTTTCTTTCAATATGGTGGAGTGAGCCACAAAATGAACGTAGGATGCCTCTTGGTGCTATTCCAGCTATTTAATGAGTTCAGCTTAAATTTCAAGTGTTCCCAATATTTTCATTAGAATCTTGACTATTTATAGTTGAGATAAAACAGACCAATTCTAGAAACTTTCACTAAAAATGAAGGACAAATGATGTGAAATGCATTTGTTTTGTATCTAATCCAATACTGTTTTCACATGTCTTACATCTCTTAATCATCCCGCCTGTGAGATAGATATGGTTATTCCCATTCTGTAGAGGGCAGAATAGAGATTCAGAGCAGATAGGCTGCTTATCCAAGGCTGCTGAACACAGAAAGAAGCTGGCTGGAGTCTGGGGTGCTTATCTTCAAAGCTAGTATTTCACTGACCAGATCACACTGCCCAGTGGACCCACCAGCTAGACAGGGTTGGATAGATGGGAAGATGTGCTGTGGTTCTCACAGGAAGCTGAGAGAAACATTACACAACTCACTGATGAGATAAGATTTCATCTGAGGTCATGCGTGTATGTCATTCTCAAGAGGTGAAGGAATAACTTTCAAATTAGCCATATTGTTGGATCTAAGTAAAGAAGAAAATAAAGAGAAATAAAATGAAGAGCAAGATACAAAATTGGTTGGGTGGTTTACGAGCTAACTAAGTAACCATAAATTAAGCAGAATAGCTCTTTTCTGTGACCCTGGTGTGTTAGGGAGTTGGATTGAAAATGCCTAGAAAATGCTTAAAATGAAGACGTGCTGTGGGCTGGATGTCTCTAAGCATGGAATGTTCATGAACCGTACACCTAACCACCTCTTCTAGGCAACTTGTTCTTATATCCATTCACTACATGTTCAGTAAGCACCTACTCTACATGAGCCTCTGCTGATGTTCGCCTGGACTACTTACCCAGACACATTCAGTACTGAAAGCTTGGCTTGGGTGTGCCCAAGCATAGGTGTGTCTACAGTATGGGAGATTCTACCCTATGTGTCCTGGATTGCCAGAGTCTGAGAGATCTGACTCTTTGCCTCTCAAAGTGCAGCCCATAGCCAGCAGCCTGGGCATCACCTTGGAGTTTCTGGAAATGCAGAATCTCAGGCCCCACCTAAAAGCTATTGAGTCAGAACTTGCAGTTCCATTGTCTCTAGGTGACTCGCATGCACATTAAAATTTGAGAAGCTTTGTTCCAAGCTTCTGCCTAAATCCTTCACTATAACCTTTTTCCTCGGAGGCATCTGTCGACATCAGACCGCCCTAGAGCTTGGACAAGGAAGCTGGACAGCTTGGTTGTTTTCCACTGTCTTGGCAGCTTTCTCTTAATGACCTCAGGCCCCAGACTATTGTGCAACATTGAGCTTTCCAGTGTCATTTCAGCCTGTTTTTGTGATTAAACCTTAATTCTAGAACCAAAGCTCCTTGAACAGAGTCCATCGGGAAAAAAAATTTTAAATTGCACTGAACAAAAAGAAGCCTTCTGTTTAAGGACGGAGGGAGTGGTGGAGGATGATAGAGTAACAGACAGGCCAGTGGTTTTGGGGCATTCAGCAGGCAGCCATGAGGCTTGGGGACACCCCATGCAGATGGACAAGAGAAGGCTTCTGTCACGCTCTGTGGTGGCTCTTCTCTCACTGCTCTAGGTCAAGTGTGGTGTAGTGACAGTTACAAGTGTCTGAGATATTAGGTAAACTTGAAATTGGATGACTGACGAAGTCTGTGTCACAGAAACAGAAACTTCACCCCCCTGGAGGCCAGTGGAAAGTTCTGCCGTAGGCTTTCTGTGTATCAGTAGACAGGTCACTTAACATGTGTAAGCCATCTTTTTAAATTTAGAAATCCGGGGTACCTGGACAGGGAGGTGGGGTGGTCCAACCTTCTGGAAAACTTACTTGACCCATCCTGAGGTCTTTGGCAGTGGGTTGGATGTGCCAGTCAGTGAGGACAGAAGGAAAGTAGAAGAGACCGAGAAGCCTGTGAGAAGCTGGAAGGCTCCCCTGTACTGCAGAGCAGGAGGTGGTGCAGAGTGGAGAACAATGGTCTAGTGATCGGGGGTCACATCTGTTCCTCTTCCTGCTGTTCAAGCAGGCAGAGCAGCCAGGTGTGCTCGGAAGCGGACTGGAGTGGCTCCTAGGAGGACATTCACATTCTGTGTCCTGGACTCTCTTGTGACCCCACAGGTTCGGTTTTCCGGGATGAATTCGACCTGGCCATTCTCCAGCTGCAGGAGAACAATCGCCTTGAGATCCTGAAGCGCAAGTGGTGGGAAGGGGGGAAGTGTCCTAAGGAGGAAGATCACAGAGCTAAAGGTAAGGATGTTTATCACCTTTCCTCCCACCCTAGAAGACAAAAGAAGCTAGTTTCTTATGTCCAGATTTCAGGTAATGACTTCTAGGACACAGGAAGAATAAGCCCTAGAAGGCATGGAGGCCCAGACTGCAGCTGGCTGGGGTCAGGCCTGTTCCAGGGTCTTGTATACTGTCGGCACCCAGTATACCCCTGGCCCACAAGAACTACAGGCACAACCTCCATGTTGTGTTGTGTCCTGGATCTACCCCCTTTAATCCCCAGCACCGTGGCTTCCACCTCAGTCCATGCCACCAACATCTCCCACCTGTATGGTTGTAACAGCCTGGGTCATTTTCCCATTTTTACATCTCATTAGTGTGTTCTCTACTACTAGCCTGGATGATTCTTCTTTAAAATATAGATTGGACTGCAGCATTGGCCTCCAAACGCCTTGTCATCTTGGAATAAAATTCAAGCTTTCTGTAACCTCAAGGCCCTATGTGACCTGTTCCCCCGACTCCCTCTTCTCTGTCCCCTCCCAAAGCCTCCCAGCTTGCTTCTACAACACAGTGGGCACTTGCTTCCATCCTCCCCAGGGTCCCTGGGAGGATCAGAGAAGTCTTCACTCCCTCTTCCACTGTAACCCTGCTTTCTTTTATCACCTCGTATAATGTGTGTATTTGTTTACTTTCTATCTCCTCTACTAGAAAGTTGGTTTCATGAGGGCAGGGTTTGTCTTCTGCATAGCTCCTGGGCCTTGGATACTTTTTACTGAATGAATGAACAAATGTTGAATTTGTATTGCATTGAATGGAAAGCAGTCTCCCACCAACTGCATGTGTAGTGAGAGTGTGGAGGGTCCCTGACACCCAGATTTTCTATGGAGCATATCATGGTGTGCCCTGATTATATCTATTGTAGATCAGTTAATATCCATTAGCTATTTTTAGATAACTTTTATTCTCCAAATGTCCTGTTTTGGACAAAACATCATATGGTCACACTAGTAATCCACTGTAGCCTTGCTAAAAAGATGCAACAAATTTACAAGTGCACACCATCCCCTTAGGAAGGTGGCTGACGAGCAGAATGAAGGATAGCATGCACTTGCCTTTCTGCTCAGCATGAATGATTATCCTTGATGAGACAGTGAATGAATGACTATGTTTCTAAGTGTCTATACATGGATCTCTATCTGGCAAAGAGAAGTCTGGCGAATAGGGATCTAAGGAGCAAGTCATTTGTAATGTAAAGGAAATGCTGTCTTCAAAAGAACCTGAGGAGGCTACACACTTCTAGGCTCTTCCTCAGCAAAGGCCAGAGGCTGCCCTTGGGGAGGGCAGTGGCCACTAGTGGACATTGGCATGGATACATCTTGTTTGAATCCCAGCTCCACCTACTGATAGTCTGTGAGTGTAGGCACATTAGTTACCACTGCTAAATCCCCATTTTTAAAAACATCTGTTAAATGAGTGTAGTAACCAGGCCCCTATCAGATTATTGTGAAGGTTGGGTGAGGTAGCATGGAGCTTAGCTCATGGTAAGAGTCCAGGGCATCACAATGTTACTGATCTGCACTCCTGCCATGCTATAGTGCTCTCAACTCTAGGTGCTATAATCCCAATTACTCAAGAAGTTGAGGCAGGAGGACCTCAAGTTCAAAGACTCTCTGCAACTTAGCAAGACCTTGTCTTAAAATTAAAAAAAATATATATATATATATAGAAAGGGCTTGGAGTGTAGCTCTTGGGTAGAGTGCCTGGGTTTAATACCCCAGTAGCAAAACAAAAAAAAAAAAACGCCAGTGCTTTTTCCATGGACAGCCAGCCAGCCATTCAACCAACAAAGAGATGCTGAGCGACGGTGTTAGAGCCCGTTGTTTTTACTCCTGAGAATAAGAAAGTCCTCTGGGTTTATTACTAAATATCCTAGAGTGATTTGTGGAAATAAGACCAACAAAACTGAAGTGATTAGCAAACATTTTAGATGAGCCAAATTATAATTAAATCCTGGGGTCAGGGGGTCAGTACAGAGGAGACTAACTCTATTATTTGCTCAGGGAGAAAAAAATAGAGGAGATACAGATAGCAGTATCAGAACATGTTTGTTGATTGAGTAGAATGAACTAGATTCTGAAGATGTACAGGAACTGAACAGGTAGGGATAGCAGGGAGAGGGTGTTGTGGACAAATAGGCCTTTGAGGAAGGATGTAGAGGCAGAAATTAGTACAGTGGCCAGGCTGTGTGCTGGGACCAAAGGTGCACCCGGGGCATAGCAGAGCATGCTGGACCCAGTCTGAAAGAACTGGTTGAAAATGTCAGATTCTAGAGTGACGGGTGGCACCATGAAGCCTGGTGCCCTAGAGTGATTTCTGAGCTCTTAGTGGCATTCCTGTTTCCAAGGAACAGTTATTACCTCGGGAGAAACCAAATCAAATTATTGGCTTTAAGTTTCAAAACAAGTATTTTTTACAATTCATTGCAGAGACAGTGTTCTTGAAGCAAGGTTGTTGATTTGCTAGGGAATTATTTTGGAATTCAGAGATGGACTCCTGAAGGAAATTGTGCATAAGATTCATGCTAGATGTGAGAGAGAGAAACAAATGAAATGGAAGAGCCCAGGCCACGAAGTTTGCAAATGAGGTAAAAAGATGACCTGGAAAGGACACATTAGAATGTGGCCAGTACCTGAAAAGGAGCCTGTGTGCCTTTTGGGGAGCTCAGGAGGGGCAAGTATCACTTCTACAATTAGCTAGGGATCGAAAGAGTTATAAAGAGATTTTTCTGCTAATTTCCAGAATTTGGCAAACCCCAGGAATATGTGATGCGGCACACTGGAGTGGAAACACGAGGGGGGACACATGGGAACCCAGGGCAGAGAAGACTCAGTAAAAGGCCTGAGTTTTCCTAAGCCCCAGACAGAGATACTAGAAATATTAGAAATTTAAGTAGACCCCAGGTGAGACCACACACCCATCCCCACTCCATACTCTGTCACAGACTGGTCCTCCTTCTGAACCCCTGGCCTGAAATACACTGCCAGGGAGAAGGAGAAAGAGAGAAAACACTGAATTTAAGCCTGAAATGACTGACAATTCTCTGTGCATTTGTCAATCAGGTAGAAATGGAAGTTTCAAGTAAAAATTACATTCATTCATTGAAAAATTGTGACCATTTTTGCAGTTATTGGCGTTGGAAATGCTTCCCATTCCACACAGGTCCAGGTAGACTGATCTGACAGCTCAGGTTGGAGGAGAGCTGATAGGGAGGGAGATCAGGCTCCCAAGAAAGATGGAAAAGTGTGAACAGGAGGCCTCTCTCTACTACTGCATGTGAGGACCAAATGTTCCCTGCAGCAGAGAAGAGAACTGAACAGATGAAAGGGGATAAGCAACAGAAGTTGTCTTGCCTGGATCCCAGGGCTTCAGAGAATGCCTGAGTCCTGTCTACCCACCAGAATTAACTTGCCTGTCTGCCATTGTCCTTTGGAATGAAGAGTGATCTCTACTAATAACAGGTGATATCCAAGCATGGAACTGTCCAGGAGATGCTGTGCAAATCACCATGAAAGCAGGGCATTGGCCAGCAGGAGGCCAGGTTGGGGCAGTGGCCCCATTTTGGCCATGATGGAAACCAAGCAAACATCAAAGGCTCAAAGCCTTTTTGGCTAAGGGAAATTTCACATGACCTCCTCCAGGCCTAGCAAGAAGCACTAGCCCCCAACATCAGGTGCTATTGCTTCATCTTTCTCTTTCCGGCAAATTAGCCATCGGACTTACTACAGGGTAAAATTCTCTACCAAGAGACTCTGAGAAACAGGACTGCCGTGACCCAAAAGATCCCCTCCTTGAAGTCTTTAAATGGCCACCAGAAACCAAGCCCCAGGAACATTTTTTCCCCTTGTGTCTCAAATAGAACAGAGGGCAGTAGTTTTAATTTGCTTTCTACAGTAGCTCCTAGGTGAGCTTTCTTTCTGTAATTTGAATCAGCTGGCTTTAACATGTGCCTAAAGAAATGAGAGGAATACAGAACTGGCAGAGAGAGATGGAGTTACTATATGTGGGAGTAGGAAGGGGGTCCTTTCTTCAGAGACCTCTGAGACTGACAGTGGCTATAGGCACTTTTGGTTTCAATTAAAATGTATCAGACAACATGCTGGTGCCTAATGCAATACTTTTCTGCTTTGTTATCCTTTTAAAATATGAGAAATTGCAAAGAAAAGGAACTGGTGCTTACCCTACTTCTAATCCAATATTACAACTCAAACAACACTGCCAAACTGCAGGGAGAATCCTAACGCTGGGATGATGCGGCCTGTCTTGAGCCTTGCTGTCAGGTGTTCCTTGGCTCTGCTAAGAGCCACAACATTCCCCTTTCACTTCGTCTCCCCTCACTTTCCCTGCCTATAGCTTAATGACTGTCTACCTTTTTACAACCATCCCAAAAGTGAAACGGCAGATCGTGTGGAAGACTGGAGATTACAAAACGGAGAAGGCTCCATTCCAAGCAGTTTCATTTGCTTCTGCCTTCTCTTTTCAAAAACATTTACTTTATTTATTTATTTTCTCACTCAGTTCCTATAAAAAGAAATATCGCTAGCCACTCACAGATGCCGGCAACCCAATTCAAGGAGATTGGATTACCGAAGGCTCTGCAGAACAATTACTAGACAAAAAAGGTGGTGGGTGAACTCCAAGGAAATTAAATACGTTTATCTTGAAAAATACAAGCTCACCATCGGGCTTCAAAGGAACAGAAATACACCACCAGGCTGTGAAAATCAGGGTCCCCTTTCAGGAATGGAAAAGAGGCCAGTGGCACTGACTCATGGAATCTTGGAGAATGGGAAGTCTGCTGTCTGGTTGAGTGGGAATGAAAGCGTGAGACATCTTAGTAGGAGGGGGTCAGGCGATAGGGAGAGGGAGACTCCCGGGACGTTCTTCTCCCTCTTTCTTCTTGGGGGCCCAGCTTGGCTGTCTGGGTTTTCTGGTTTCTGTGGAGGGCACGAAGGCTGAAACTG